AAAAAAAAAAAAAAAAAAAAACGAAGGACAGAAATACAGAAAAAGAAAAAAAAAATCCACTTGTACCTTCTGCTAATCAGTGTATATTCAGGGCAACTTGAATCTATGCTCCTGGGTTGCAATCCTCAAGCTTGGCCCAAGTAAACTCTCTGCTTGCATTAACTTTGCCCCATCTTCTTTCTTTTAGGTCGATACATCCATACCTAAGATCTAGGGTAATTTTCTAGGCTTCTCGCCTCTCCCTTTCTTCCATGCTTTTCTGTGCTTTCTAAACGGGCCCAGTAGAGTTCCGCGTTTCCACATTCCACAGAGGTGTTTTCCTTCTGTGGCCCCGGGCCCCGCCAGACAGCGAACCGCGAAGCCGGCACTTCGGCGGTCTCCAGCCTTTGCCTGGAAAGAGCTTGGCAAGCTACCTAGAGGTTAGATCCCTGGACCCAGTCGTTTTAGCTCAGGGAAGGGAAGCGCCGGACGCCAGCCTGCAAGCTCCACTGCGCAGCCGTGGACACCGCCCCACGTGGTAGGGCCGTGGACCCTGACAACGCCGGAACCCGGAGCCCGGTGCGTGCGCTTGGCGGACCAGAATGGCTAACGTACCGCCATGCCGCGAGGCCCACGTAGAGGCGGAAGTTGATGGGACTGACGCAGATGGGGGAACCTTGCCTCGATGGCACTTTCCTGTCCGCGACTCCGCCCCCGCCGGAGGGGCTAGGCTCCGGGATTCAAGATGGAGGCGCTGAGTCGAGCTGGGCAGGAGATGAGCCTGGCGGCCCTGAAGCAACACGACCCTTACATCACCAGCATCGCAGACCTCACGGGCCAGGTTGCTCTGTACACCTTCTGCCCCAAGGCCAACCAGTGGGTGAGTGCCGCCTGGCTCTGAGGACGGCCGCCCGGCCGCTGCGGTCTCTTAAAGGGGCCGCGCGGGTTGCTGTGGGGTGGGGGACACAGCAAGAGGCCAGGGAGGTGAAGACGGGGCCAGGGACTGGCGAAGAGCCGAGCCAGAGCTTGAGGGGTGTCAGGTCCACCTGGGATTGGGGGATAGGAGTGAGAGAAGTGGCTCGAGACATCCCAAGAAAAAGCCAGTGGAGGGGAGGATTGGAGCAGGATCAGTCCCTTGGCGTCGGGTCTGGGGACGTGGGCGACCTGCCTTCTTTGCAGATACATTGGGAGTTATGAGACCAGTGGGGTCAAAAGAGTGCCTGAAAGCTTGTGTTTGAGGCTTTGCGGATTATTAGATAAATTACATGTACATTGTCTATAAAATAAACACTCCTTCTCTCCCCCGGCAGACGTAAATGAGAGCCCCTTTCGCAGAGGTCATTTGGATTTAAAGCTTAAAATCCAATTAGTTTCGATTCTTGGAAGGGGGAGTGCGGTGGGTCCGGCTTTAATCGAACTACACAGTTTCGGAAAAGATTTCAAGGCACTTAGGAAAAGGGCTTCCATGTTCACTGGATCCCCGAAGACCTTTGTACAAACAAGAGAGACCCTGCAAATGTGTTTTGTTCCACCTATGATGCTGGTGATGTCATCTCTGAATGTTCCCCTCAGGCTCAGTACTTTCTGGCTTTCGTGCACTGGAGAGGGTCCGAAAAGTTACATTCAGTCTGTTCACTGATTCTCGTTAGCCCCTGCTTGAAGCTTTGTTAGTTGTTTAAAAACAACTAGCGTAATTTCCCACTTTCTTGTAATTGACCCTTCCTAATTAACTCATTCAGTTACAGGCTTTACACTTAGAAAATAATATGTAAATGTTTGTTGGATTGAATTCACCAATGACTGGAGTTCACATTTCAATAAGATGTGAAATCCTTAAACTAACAACTCTGGAAGATGACTGTAGTATGTCGTTTACCCTATAATACAGATGCGTAGATTATTTTTATTAGTAATTTATCGAAAATCATTTGGCATTTATGAACAGTTAATTCAGATGAAGAGAGTTTTTATAATCACGTTGTTTATCTTTGCCTCCTGGAAGAGAAGGAGGTATGGGAAACCACAAGGAATAAAATTGTAGATTGTTTTTTAAATGTAGCTATTTTGGACATTGCCTTAGTTTGAAATTTTATGAATCTTTTTTCTTTTCTTGGCATATATGTAAATTTGTGAAATATGGATTGCAGACCAAGGGTGAAGACTTGGGGCTAGGACTTTTTACTAAAGAGTTTTTCTAGTTTTTCACAAAGGCTTTCAATATTTTAAAATTTTACATTGGGGAGTTCTGTTTTAAATAAGAAATACAAGCTATAATAACCTGAATTGAAAAATAAGCTGCTACCATTTATTTGGATCCTGGCACGTAGAGCATAACAAAAATCTTTTCTCTCTTTGTTGTTATTTTACAGTGAGTTGTAACTTTATGTGATGTTTTCTGGTGGGCAAGTTTTCTTTTACTGTAAGACAGTTGATTACCAATTTCTTATAGTAATAACCTAACGTTTTAAAGGTAAGAAAAAGCCTCTGAATCCTTAGGAAGGAAAATAATGATATTTAAGCTAGGGTAGTACTTCTGGAAGAAATCAAGATGATCAATTTTCTAAATTTTTTAATCCCAACACATTCAATATGTGACCAACATTTAAAATGTTAATAATGGGTTGATTACAGTAAAATATTTAGGTCCATTGTAGGCTGTAAATTGCAGACTAATAAGCTTATTTATTTTTTAAAAAACACTGAACTGTGTTTAAAACCTAAATACTCTTGTCACAGAAAATGACCTATGATAAAGGCCTGTAATAATTACACTGAGGCAGGGTATACTTTCAGTATTCATGATTCTTCAAGTTCTAAAAATAACAAGCTGGTTTTGTTTGGTAGGAATTCTTAACCACAAAATTTACTAGTTGTGAAAATGTACGAAAACTCCCCAGTGATGAAACAAAGTATCCTATAAAAAAATTTCATTCCTTTCCTTTTTTAAAATTAACTTGGATAAACTTACAGGACCTTAGCCTTGAAGTTAAGAAATCTGGCTAAAACATTTTAGCTATAAAAAGTGAAGGTTTATTCTATGATTTTCTCCTTTACTAATTAAAAAAGAAAAATGCTGCAGGTACAGATATGTTGCTGGATTAAACATTGCGTATGCTTATGTATGCATCAGTAGCACTGAAAGCATACATTAGAAATGGTAACCACAATTTGTGGAATGAGAGGGAGACTTTATCTGTTCCAAAGTGGTTAATTTTATAATAAATGAAATGAAACAAGTTGATCTTAAACGTGAAGCATTACTTCTCCATTGGGACTGTTTGGGGTCTGATTATGGGGAAAAAAACTAATGGACTCATTGTCTTTCATAGGAGAAAACTGATATAGAAGGGACCTTATTTGTATATCGAAGGTAAGTTTTTAAAATATGTGTATTTTTTTTTAACAGTTTAATGGTGAACAATGTCAAACGGTTCAATTCTGTTGTACATTTGTCTTTGGAACCTTCCTGCTAGTCCCCTTCAAGTTTTCATCTTTCCCTAGCTGTGAAATCTTAACCAGGTTCTTTCTTTTCTCTGAGCCTTTCTGTGATTCAGAATAAACTGAACTAGAATTTATATTAAAAGCCTAGCAAAGCAATTTCAAAATAATAATGATTGAGTCTAAAACAGATACCTGCCTCTCTCTCCCTACCCCCATATTAGAAAGAAAAAACAAAGATATATATTTGGGGAAAAGATAACACATAGACTAGCTCTGTAAAATAATGTTTTTCATTACCTCTGTTGTTTTATTACTGCATGAGTGGTTGTCTTTTATGACTGGTTCTGTCCTCTTTCCCAACCCCCAGAAGTTCTAGATTTTGTACAGTGTCTTGTTTGAGAGTTCTTTAGAAAGCTTGGATTATTCATAATGGCATATTTTTTATTTTTAACTTATTCAAAAATTCATTATCTTTAAGATTGGTTTGCAAATTGCAACTGTTTTGTTAGGCAGCTTCTGGGGCCTAAAGACAACTGACAGTATATGATAGTCATGGGGTGCTTGTTTTCCTGGATTCCTCTAAGGTCTTACTCTGACAAGGGCAGGTTCCTTCCCTTGTTTTCTAAAGCTTGAGTCAGCAGGAGTTATTACTGATATCTGGTCTTTTCCCTTTTTTTTTTGCATTGAGTTGCTTTTTAAGGATTGCCTTTCTCCATTGATGCCAATTTAAAATAATTTGTCAAATACTCTTCCAAATTTTGATACAAAGCCTTGAGATCTTATCTAAATGCACTCCATTTTTTTCTTCTTTTAAGTGTAATTCTTTGATATTTGTACACCAAGCTCTTCTTTCTTAGACACTTTGTTTGTTCGCTGCTATTCGTCTTTCTCCTTTTAAAAAGAAAGGTATCGGCCAGACGCAGTGGCTCACGCCTGTAATCCTGGCACTTTGGGAGGCCGAGGCAGGTGGTTCACGAGGTCAGGAGATAAGAGACCATCCTAGCTAACACGGTGAAACCCCATCTCTACTAAAAATACAAAAAAATTAGCTGGGCGTGATGGTGGGTGCCTATAGTCCCAGCTACTCGGGAGGCTGAGGCAGGAGAATAGCGTGAACCCAGGAGGTAGAGCTTACAGTGAGCCGAGGTCAAACCATTGCACTCCAGCCTGGGCGACAGAGCGAGACTCTCATAAAATAAATAAACAGATAAATAAATAGGAAGGGATCTTTACCCTCACTTCCTTCATTACTCTTCATTAGCAGTATAAATCTCTAGAAACTCTGTTATTAGAACCTTAGTTTCTATGATATTTGGAAAAGGTACTTTACTGGCTTTATTGTTATCATACAGAGGCACTGATTGTAGAAAGTAGGAGATTTAGTGTAGTGGTGGCTGGATTTAATACAATTCACGGAGTCTAATATGGTACTGATTCTAATTAAATGAGACGCAAGAAACTGTGTTTGGAAAATGTGAGACTATTTTGTGTACCTTGGATAAAGGTATACCAGGATGTCAGACTATCACTTTGCAGAGATTACTTCGTATAGTAGAAGCTTGGATTTGGAGTCAGAAAACCTGAAACTGAATCCTAATTACATTATTTGTAACTCATTATTTGTGTGACCTCAGGCACAGTCCTTAATCATTCAAAGCTTGTCTTCTAGTCTGTAGAATAGTGTTAACACCCCATATATATCGTAGAGAAACAAACTAAAAACTATGAAATGTTAGGTACATGTGAAGAGTAAGGGATCATATACCGAATCCCTCTGATATGGGAACCAAGGATGTTTCCTATTGTAGGATTCAAGGCATTTTCCGTCTAACTCAGGAGCACTATGTAAAGATCTGTTTGGTGCAAGAAAAACCGTTATTGTAATGATGGGCAGCCATTATAGCCAATCCAATGGAATGATATTTCATTCAGCAACTGTGTGTCTATATTGGGATGTATGTGTGAAAAAAGTAAGACAAAAGCTCCATTTGCATGGGGCTTACATCCTAGTGGGGGCAGGACAATAAATGTTTAAAATAAGTGGTATGGATAAAAGAGAAAGGTTAGAGGTATTGAGCTTGGGAACATTAAAAAGGGTAGTTCAAGTAGGCCTCATGAAAAAGGTGACATCTGAACAAAGGCTTGCAGGAGATGAGATAGCTGTGCAGCTTCTGGGGCAGTAATCCAGGAAGAGGTCTTTAGGTAGAAGCACACATGCAGAGAGAGTGGCAAGGAGCCCAGTGTGGCTGGAGAGGAGGAGGTGGGGAAGAGCCATAGGAAATGAAGTCAGAGGGGGAATACATCAGGTGGGGCCTTGGTGGCCTCAGTAAGGACTTTGACCTTTACTCTGAGAGACTGTCTTTGGAGACTTCTCATCAGAGGAAGAATATGATCTGACTTAAATGTTTTGTTTACAGGTGTAAGTGCTTGATAATATTGTATGTTCTAACGTACTCTTTTCTGAAATGAAAATAAAGCACATAGTAGATAACATTTCTACAGATTAAATGGTAACTGCGTATTTTTTTTTCTTCTATTAAATCTAAGGTCAGCTTCCCCTTACCATGGTTTTACCATTGTGAATCGACTAAATATGCACAATCTAGTTGAACCAGTGAATAAAGATTTGGAATTTCAGCTCCATGAACCATTTCTTCTGTATAGAAATGCAAGCTGTGAGTATATCTGTTTTATTATAGTTATTACATTTAAAATCGAGTGACTTTAGTTTCTATCAATCCATTATTTAGTAAGTTTCAAATTACAAAACAAAATATGGCCTATACTTTATGATTATAAATGAGTCTGTTAGAAAGATCAGACGTTTTAAACTGGGCTCTGAGACCAGACGTGGTGGCTCACGCCTGTAATCCCAATACTTTGGGAGACCGAGGAGGGCGGATCACCTGAGGTCAGGAGTTCGAGACCGCCCAGGCCAACATGGTGAAACCCCGTCTCTACTAAAAATACAGAAAAAAATTAGCCGGACTTGGTGGTGGGCACCTGTAATCACTTGAACCTGGCAGGTAGAGGTTGCAGCGAGCCGAGATCGCGCGATTGCACTCCAGCCTGGGCAACAGAGTGAGACTCTGTCTCAAAAAAATAAATAAATATACTGGGCTCTGAAACTGGAAACATTCTTTTGTATATAATTTTGTTTACTATTTCATTTACTAGCACTACATTTATGTTGTTGGTTTATTAAAATAAGGTTTATGCCTTTGTTTTTTTGCAGCTGTGGACTATCAGCTGCCCACATCCCTGAGCAACAGAACTTAGTTTGGGACACACAGGATGGGAGCAGATACAGATAATTCTTTCCACAAAGAAAGTATTATTTTTGCCCAGAATAGTGGTGGTGGGGTTTTTTTAAAAGATATTTATTACTTTTTCTACTTTATTTTGTCTGAATATGTTTCTAAGTAGGGTTTTTCTATCTGTTTATTTAATTGAGTGTCTACTGGTTACCAGCACTGAGCCAAGAGCTATGGTGCTTTAATGTTTGTAACCTATGTGCTATAGGGAGGCAGTTAAGTCAACTAAGACTCAGAGATGCAAAACTATTACTCTGTTGGAGAGTTAGGATTATAACTCTTCTGCTTTTTAGTCCAGGGTTCTTTCAGGCATTTTTACAGCCTCTAATAATAATTGGATGCAGTCAGCAAAGCTAGATTGGCCCTTCCAAGAAACTACAGTACTAAAAAGTGTACTTGATTCCAGTGTGTTGGTATGGATATTGAAGGTATGGGTGTTTGAGGACAGTTTGTTCTACATTGACTATAGGGGTATCAAAACTGGTTATGGTAACGATTGTGCTCTAATTATCATTTAAGGATATAGTTGGAGAAATGTTGCTTCTAACTTAAAAAGTAAAAGTTAATGTGTTTGAATTTCACTTGGCTGAGAAGTAATTGGTCTTGGGGGATGTCTTCAGTATAAAATAGAAAAAGGTTACTAGAAATTATACACCTCTTAATTCCCTGAATGAGAAGTAACAAGGCCTATTTTAAAGCTAGAAACCCCCAAGTTCTTTTCCGTAGCACACTTTTAAGTATAAGTGAAACAGTTTCTGTCTTTTGACTTCTCAGTAAACTATTTTTCCAGGTAATTACCTCTCAGATTTTAAATTCTGTGGACATATTAGACATGCTTCGTAATACCTGTAAGTTCAGGTGGATTTATTTAAACTAATATTAACAGCATAATTATTTCAGATTGCTCTTTTCTTTGGACTGAATATTCCATTAAAGGGAAAATTCAGCTGGGCACAGTGGCTCACACCTGTAATCCCAGGACTTTGGGAGACCGAGGCAAGCAGATTGCTTGAGCCCAGAAGTTCGAGACCAGCCTGGGCAACATGTCAAAACCCCATCTCCACAAAAAAGCAGAAAAATTAGCCAGGTGTGGTGGCACACACTTGTAGTCCCAGCTACCCAGGAGGTTGAGGTGGGAGAGTCGCTTGAACCCAGGAAGTCATCGAGGCTGCAGTGAGCTGTGATCGCGCCACTGCACTCCAGCCTGGGCAACAGAGCAAGACCCTGTCTCAAAAAAATAAAAAGAGGGTGGGAGAAATTCTGCAAAGGAACACAGATCCAATTTTCTTTTTAAGTGAAATAGGCTTAATTCTGTTCTTTACTACCTGGAAACTTAATTTAGCCATCACTTCTAAGTGGTGTGATTATTAAAGTAGTCAGTAGGGAAAGTTATCTGGACCCAGTTACCATTTAGCATAAACCTGAGATGAATTGTATTGTATTTTTTTCACAAGTCCTGTGAAATTGAAAGTGTGACATAACACAAATATAATTGAACCATGAGTAACCAGAAGCTAACTAATCAGAGCTTCAGTCGTCTGGAATTATTTTTACAGTTCGTGTGTGGAAGAAATGAAGGCAAATTATAAGAAAACAAGCTAATACTAGGTTTTATTTTCTAAAAATCAAGCAGATATCCAGAGAATAACCTGGGGTCAGCATTGAAATGTCAGTATTTTGTAACTTTAACTCCACTGTAGTATCATAGGTTGAATTGTTTTAATGAGACCTAAAATCATCAGGAGTATTTATTACGTTAACTAGAACATTCTTAGGAAGAAAGTGAACTCATGCATTTTACTTTAGAAAATTCTCAACTGATTGAAACAAAAGTTTTGTTAGTTGAACAGAAAACTCACTTAACCAGGTCATTTCATTAGGGAAATTATTTAAAGGAATAGCTTTATTGGAGAGAAGTGATAAGACAACAGAAAATGATTTTGTGCGTGTTAAGGCCTCTCTTGAGTGTGTGTTTTGCCTACCTAGTCTTAAAAGTGGAAAATAGTCTTGTCAGGTCAGCAAGCTATTCAGTTGTTTAGGGATTTGTTCTTTAAATAAAATGTTAGTATCTGATTATGCATACAGGTAATTATACCTGATTCTGTAACTGCTCTTCTGCCATTCTCTTGGGAAATGCCACCAAGACACCTGACCCATTTAATTCAAGTTACACCTTCATATCCAACTTCCTTCATTCAAATTAATTTTTGAAGTTAATGTACTAGAACAGTGAACCATAACTTTTTTTTAGTTCTAAGTTGTTTTATTTATTTTTATGAGTTTTTCTTTATAAAACGTGCCAGACTACACCCACCCCACCCCTCAAGAAAAAGATAAAATCTTACAGAGAAAATTCTTACATTCACTAAGGGCTTAGGCTTGGTGATTCTCTTAAATCTTTGTGGGGAAGTGGTGGTGGTGGTGGTGGTGGTGGTGGTGGTGGTGGTTTTCAAAAGACAAGGTCTCACTGTGTTGCCCAGGCTGGTCTTGAATTCCTGGGCTCAAGCAGTCCTCCCACCTCGGCCTCCCAAAGTGCTGGCATGAGCCACCCTGTCCAACCTCCTGAATCTTTTGGGAACAGTGTATTTTTATTCTGTGCAAGGGCCTTTGGCAGCCACAAGACCGCAGTGGGACTACAATGAAGAATGGGGAGGTTATAAGTTCTGGAGTTATTGAGTAGCAGTGATATTTCTAGCACCTTATTTCTGATCCTCATCTTACAGGTTGAGAAAACAAGAGGCTCAGAGTTGTTTAGGAACCTGCTCAAGATTCGCAAAGGCAATAAGTGACAGATGCAGAATTCAAGAGTAGGTCTTTCGGGCTTCAAGGCCAATGTTCTTTCCAGTCTACTGTAACAATAAAATTACTTCATCAGTCCATATTCTAGAGCAGTGCTATCCACTGAAACTTTGCAATCAGGGAAAATGACAGTTCTGTGTCAGCACTGTCTAATATAGTAGCCTGAAATGTGGCTAGTGCAAATGAAGAACACTTCTTTTTAGTTTATTTAATTTAATTTATTTGAATTTACATGGCTGTATGTGCTGGCACCTGCTATACTGGACAGTGGAAGTCTAAAGCATGAGTTAATGTGCTGACATACTCTTTGTTGTGCCATACCTGAATCAAACAACTACTTGGGAAGCTTTGGATTCGATTTTTATGCCTCCTATTTAGTCATTCCTTTTCGAAACTTACAAATGATTTCTAGATACAAAAGCTGCAGAATATTTCCCTGAGGGTGGCTTTGCCATGGCAACACTCTTTTGGCATGGAATTTAGTTTGCAGATAAGAATTCTATTCCGGGCTTTGCCATTTTACTGACTACAACCTTGGCTAAATCATTTAAACCACTGATTTGACCTATTTGTCTTAAAAGGCCATCATGAAAGTAAGGCATTTTGTTAGGTATTTACAAATACAAAATATCATAGACTATGTCTCCATCCTAGACTCAACAAATGATCTTATTAGTGAAAGAATCCTAGGGACATCAGTGTTATCCAGGTTCTCTTTTCGTTTTTTTTTTTTTTTTTGAGATGGAGTCTCGCTCTGTCGCCCAGACTGGAGTGCAGTGGCGTGATCTCAGCTCACTGCAACCTCTGCCTCCTGAGTTCAAGCAATTTTTCTGCCTCAGCCTCCCGAGTAGCTGGGACTACAGGCATGCACCACCACCCCCAGCTAATTTTTGTATTTTTAGTGGAGACGGTTTCACCATATTGGCCAGGCTGGTCTCAAACACCTGACCTCATGATCCGCCTGCTTCGGCCTCCCAAAGTGCTGGGATTACAGGTGTGAGCCACCACGCCCAGCCTATCTCTTTTTTTTTTTTTTTTTTTTTTTTTTGAGACGGAGTCTCGCTCTGTCACCCAGGCTGGAGTGCTTATAATGCAGACCTGTGATATGCTTCTTCTATCCCTTCTGATAGTACCATGCACGAGCTGCAGGCTCTTTGTGTCTCTTTACAAGTATTGTTTTCAAATGTTGTAGGGGTCATTACTAGAAAGCCTGAGGTATACATTGGAAAAATATATATATTAAAAATGAGAAGTCTTGGCCAGGTGTGGTGGCTCATGCCTGTAATCCCAGCACTTTGGGAGGCTGAGGCGGGTGGATCACCTGAGGTCAGGAGTTCAAGACCAGCCTGGCCAAGATGGCAAAACCCCCATCTCTACTAAAAATACAAAAAAATTAGCTGAATGTGGTGGTGTGCACCTGTAGTCCCAGCTACTCAGGAGGCTAGGCAGGAGAATCACTTGAACCCAGGCAACGAAGGTTGCAGTGAGCCTAGATGGCCCCACTGCACTCCAGCCTGGGAGACAGAGCAAGACTCCGTCTCAATTAAAAAAATAAAAAATAAATAAATCTGGGCTTTGGGTTAGAAGGAAGATGTCTACCTGAAAAATAACCATGGGTCTTCCTTCATACAAATTTAAGGTTCAAGTTGTACCATTCATTTGGTGTCATTTCTTACCCGGGTCAAGAAATTAACATAAAATTAATCATCAGCTGGTGATTACTCTAGGGCATCTGGCAGAAGCAAATGTAGATCCCTTCTGGCAAGATACATTCTTAGCCCAGGTTGCCCAGGAATATCAGACATGTCTCATGGTCTAGAATTACTAAATATACAAGGAAATACTTTGCAGTGAATGAAAGGTGGCGTACAACAAACAGCAGGATTATACAACCCTTCCCAAAGACTTTAGTTCATGGAAGCTAGAGACTCTAATAGATGTAAATACCAAATCAGATTATAAAATAAAGTAAAAAGGAAGAACAGCAAATGTGAAAAAAGAATAAAGGCCCTGCGCGGTGGCTTACGCCTGAAATCCCAGCATTTTGGGAGGCTGAGGTGGGTGGATCACCTGAGGTGAAGAGTTCGAGACCAGCCTGCCCAACATGGTGAAACCCTGTCTCTACTAAAAATACAAAAAATTATCCTGGCATAGTGGCAGATGCCTGTAATCCCAGCTACTTGGGAGAAACTGAGTCAGGAGAATCGTTTGAACCTGGAAGGCGGAGGCTTCAGTGAGCCAAGATCACGCCACTGCAACAAGAGTGAAACTCCGTCTCAAAAAGAAAAGAATAAAATGCTGCCAGGCACAGTGGTTCACACTTCTAATCCCACTACTTTGGGAGGCCAAGCCGGGCAGATTACTTGAGCCCAGGAGTTCCAGACCAGCATGAGCAACATGGCGAGACCCCGTCTCTATAAAAAATACAAAAAATTAGCCAGGCAGACCTGAGAGGCTGAGGTGGGAGAATCATCTGAGCCCGGGAGGTTGAGGCTGCAGTGAGCCATGATCACGCCACTGCACTCCAGCCTGGGTGATAGAGTGAGACCCTGTCTCAAAAAGTAAAAGAGTAAAAAAGAATAAATGCTGTATTAAAAAAAACAAAAAACAAAAAAAACAGGAAGATTTGAAAAATAGCTGAGTAGAACTAATAGAAATTAAAATTTTAATTAAAAGACACTCTCTACTTGGATTCAACAGTTAATTGGTCATAGCTGAAAAGAGAATTGGTGAGCTAGAAGAGATACCTGAGGAAATCCAGAATGTATCCAAAACAAAGGACAAAATGGAAATACGACAGAGTGATTAGAATTATAAATCTAACATTTGATGGATAAGAATTTCAGAATGATAAAGCAGATTTGTAGAGAGGCAATATTTGAAGAGTTGGTATCAGACTGGGAATTTTCCAGAATCCATAAAAGACATAGATCCCAGATTTAAACAATAGAATGGGCTCCAAGCATGAAACATAGAAATATAGCCGGACGCTGTGGCTCACACCTGTAATCCCAGCACTTTGGGAGGCTTAGGCAGGCAGATCACTTGAGGTCACGAGTTCAAGACCAGTCTGGCCAACATGGTGAAACCCCATCTCTACTAAAAATACAAAAATTAGATGAGCCTGATGGCAGGCATCTGTAATTCCTGCTACTCGGGAGCCTGAGGCAGGAGAATCACTTGAACCCAGGAGGTGGAGGTTGCAGTGAGCCGAGATCATGCCACTGCACTGCAGCCTAGGTAACAGAGTGAGACTCTGTCTCAAAAAAATATGTATGTATGTGTATATATATGTACACACACACACACACACACACACACACACACACACACACACCCCCAGACACATTCTGATACCAAAGACAGAGAAGCAACCAAAGGTTGCTCAAGATTAAGTGTTGGCCGGGCGCGGTGGCTCAAACCTGTAATCCCAGTACTTTGGGAGGCCGAGACGGGCGGATCACGAGGTCAGGAGATCGAGATCATCCTGGCTAACACGGTGAAACTCCGTATCTACTAAAAAAAAAAATACAAAAAACTAGCCGGGCGAGGTGGCGGGCACCTGTAGTCCCAGCTACTTGGGAGGCTGAGGCAGGAGAATGGCGTAAACCCGGGATGCAGAGCTTGCAGTGAGCTGAGATCCGGCCACTGCACTCCAGCCCGGGCGACAGAGCAAGACTCTGTCTCAGAAAAAAAAAAAAAAAAGATTAAGTGTTTACAAAGGAACACCAGTTAGACTGACAGCGTATTCCTTAGTTGCAGCTACTGAGTTTAGAAGACAAAAGAATAATATATTCAGAGGACTGAAGAAAAAAACAACCAATAATTCAGTAATCCAAGAGAACAAAATATACTTTTCAACAAAAACAACAGCAGTTGTCTCCCCAGATTCTTGCTGTAGCCACGTGTCTATTGAGCATTTGCAGCGTGTAACTGGTAAAAGCAGACAGAACTGGTTTTTCTTTTTCTTAGATGCTGTACAGTATAACCTGATTAATTGAAAATATTAAGATACAGGTTTGTGGTACCATCAAGCTCTATGAAATAGGTTCTGGCTTTTAATGATTTTATTTTGCAAAAAGCAGTAACAAACTAAAAGCTGTTCAAACCTAAGCATTCCAAGATTGTGATGATGGCAGATAAATTGATTAATAAGGTTTTGTATATTCAAAAGATTCCACTGCAGAACATAAATAGGATATCTTAACTTTCAAACCAATAAAAACCAGGAAGTGGGAAAAAAGTAAATAGAAACCGTGGGAAAATGAAAGCCCAGAATAAAATGGCAGAAATCAATCAATTTAGAACAAATGTTAAGTGAACTAAACTTGCCAGTTAAAAGACTCAGATTGGATAAACATGTAGAATTTGCCTACATACTGTTTTAATGTTTTTAATTATTTTTCTTTCTTTATTTTTTAGAGACAGGTCTCGCTGTGACACCCAACCTGGAGTGCAGTAACACACCATTATGGCTCTGCAGCCTCAGCCTCTGAGGCTTGAGTGATCCTTCCATTTCAGCCTCCCAAGTGGCTGGGACCACAGGTGCACGCCACCACTCCCAGCTAATACTTTTTTATATTTTGTAGAGACAAGGTCTCTATATTGTCCAGGCTGGTCTCAAACTCCTGGGCTCAAGCAGTCCTCCTGTCTTGGCCTCCCAAAGTGCTGGATTACAGATGTGAGCTACCACACTTGGCCCTGTATGCTGTTTTCAAGAAACTTTAAAAACCCTTAAGATCCTGGAAAGGTTGAAAGTAAGCAACAGAATGAGATTTATCAGGCAGCTATCAAGCAAAAAAGGCGGGTGTCTGTGTGAGTCATACGTAGTAAACTGTAAAGCATCATTGGGGTAAAAGTTACCACATAATGATGAAAGGAATAAGTGACCTAGAAGATAAAATAATTTTGAATGATGTATACTTAGTGTATGTCAGAATTGCAAATTGAATGTTAAAAATCCATAATTATAGTGACAG